TCCTTCTTCCTTATTGTTACTATTAATTGTGTTGAGTATCTGGTCACCATTAACCTTTTTAGTGAAGACTGAAGCAAAATACGTATTAAACACCTCAGCCTTCTTGATGTCAGTTAACAACGGGTAAGCAGACGACCTATATTTTCTTTTGTCTTTCTTTTGCTCCTAAGGTATTTAAAGAACCTCTTCTTATTGCCTTTTAGGTCCTGTGCTAGATGTAACCCATTTTGTGCCTTAGCCTTTCTGATTTTGTCCCTTCATGTTTGTGCTATTCTTTTGTACTCTTTCCTAGCAATTTGTCCATGTTTCCTCTTCTTAAAGTATTAATTTTTGATTTTCAGGTCATTAAAGAGCTCTTGATGGAGCCATATTGGCTTCTTACTATTCTTCCTATATTTCCTTTGCATTGGGATAGTTTGCAGTTGTGCCTTTACTATTATCTCTTTGAGAAACTGCTAGCTCTGGTGAGCTCCTTTCCCCCTTTAATTTTATCCCTTAGATGTTGACTTCACTTGGTGAAATTCAGTGGCCTTTGTCCTGCATGACATCAGACCAGATGATCATAATAGTGCCTTTGGGCCTTGAAATCTATGAATTATGAAAAACTCATGACTTCCGTTAGGCCCTAAAGTGAGAAGTTGTCCCAATCTCTGCATTTCCCACTTCATCCCCATTTTGTGTGCCTATCTTTCAAACTGCAAGCTTTTGGGGATATTGTTGGCAATGAGTAAACATATACATTTAAATTAAAATAATACTAACAACATTATTAGCATAATAATGACACCTCAGACAGGGATTCCTTAAAAAGTTCCTGTGTGATTAAAAGCTAAGAACTTCCCAATCCCTGTTAAGTGATTATCAACATACAGTCCCTTGTTAGCTCAATAATTGGGCTGGCAGAACAAGATTTGAGTTTGGAGATCCTCTCTCTTCAGGCTAGTGAAGGTTACTTTGTCTCTCTGTGTGAAAAGGGAGTTTGGACTCCCTTCTACCTAGTGCTTGACTGCTGCAGCTTGAGAGGTGGAGACTTGTTCTGGTTTGGTGCAGCACCCTAAAAGATCATCAGGGCTACCTCCTGCTCTGCTTAGCCTGTGCTTTGCCACAGGAATCTTGTCAGCCAGGACAGGATTCCAACCAGGTGGACTTGGACACAATTGGTTTTGTGCCTGAGACTGAACTGTAGCCTTTATTGTGTGTGCAGGGAAGAACTGCTAGCCAGACTCCCTGAGTTGCCAGAACTTGATGGCAGGCTGCTTCTCTGAGGTCCCCAAACTTTAAGTACTTGATCTAAAGCTCACTGAAGTCAATGGAAGTCTTTGAGAGACTCTAGCTTCAGTCAAGGCATTAAAATTGCAGTGAACACCAGGTACAATGAAATCTATGCTCTTTTAAGCAGGTGCAAAAGTGCATGCCCACTCTCTACTGGTTAACACTTTGACTGCATTACATGTGCTAGGAGGCTGCAGATGTCAGAAAACTTCCCAACTCACAAACCATGGTCTCTTAGAAACATGGTTCATAGTGAACTCCCTATGGCTGGAAACATGGCAGCCCTAAACAGATCTGTGCTTAAGTGGGGGATAGCGGAGCACTGGGACAGCCCATCCCCACAGCAGGTGCCTAGAGCCTAATCCAGAACAAAGAGAAAGGAAAAAGGAGAAGTACTTAGGCTTGGGCGTGCTTGGCTAGAATATGTAGCTTTGAAAAAAGTTACAGAGGAACTAAATGTATCCAGACTGAGAACTTTTGTTAAGAAGAATCATCACACTTCCTTAACCCCTACCCTTCACAGGCTCTGCAAAATGTGCTGAACAAACTGGTGGATTATAGTTACTTTTTAGCTAAAAGAATAAAAAAAAAAAAAAAAAAGGATGTGGTCTGGAGAAAGCTCAAGGATTATTACTGCCCACCGGGTGACAAAATCACTTCATCTGGAAAAGACTTTGCAATGACAAGGCTGACCCAGTGCTTTCCCTCATCACAACAATGAAAACTGAAAGCCTGCTCTTTTTCTTTTGTGCTTTTGATGTCGCTGCTATAGCAGACAGAGGGTATCTAGGCCAGACTCAGAAGTTGGTGAAGCGGGAGAGCATGGGGTCAGTGTAGCAGTGAACTAGAGAGAGCATCAAGAAAGAAACAAAATAAGAAGTACAGGAGGTGTGGTACCAAATCTGCCCAGCAGACTGTTATGGAAAGACACGTTGTCAGAGGATAATCATGGTTACAGTACCTTCATTTCCTGCTGCACCTCTAAAATATTCAAGAGGAAGTCCGTGTGCATGCACCGGTCCAAAAACACAGCCAAAAACTCTCAGAAAATGTAAATTGATCTAACTGTATTTTTATAATTAGTTTCAAGACAATAAATTTGTCATAATTCAAGACAACTTCATCCTCGGTTTAACTCAGCACACTTCAGTGGGGTCACATGAGGGAGGGATTTAGTCTATTAAGATTAGTATGAAGTAAGCATCCTAAATGTATTAAACTGAAGTAACAGTCAAAATCTCGATGGTGGGATGTGTCTGGAGTAGAGCTAACTGCTTTCATCATATGGAGGTGGGTGTACTGTATGGGAACATGCACTGTGGCTTCTGGAGATTATAAATTACCTATTTACAATCACAATCACAGAGATAGTCTGCAGTTGCTGCTAATTCCCTTGCCTTAGCACATTCCTAGCAGCGAACAGGATTCATTCTCTACACCTAGCCGCAGGACATTTGGCACGTTACACTTGGAATGGTTCCATCTTCTAATTTGGCCTGGAAGCATTACTCCCACTTACCGTTAAGTGAGGCTCCAAAAAGAGGAACTCAAGTGGATCCAAAGGCTCTCACTAAAAACCCCAGTAGAGGCGCTCACATACTGAAGGTATGAGGTTAGTATAACAGCAGAATTGGCCCGCTCTCCATTATTTGACCTCTGGATACTGCAGGTGATTGAAGGCATCCATATGTCTGAGAGGAAAGGAACGAACTGCTCTATATACCTTTATGGATGCTGTCTTCAACTTCTTGCCAATCAGCAGTAGGTATTCGTTCATTATCTCCCTCATTTGGACATATAGATAATATGCCAATGAATTAATTTTACTGTAGGTATGAATACAACATGGATTTTTATTTAATGTGTAATAAACTAAAATGTTAGCTTACATGGCCTCCTGATTAGACCAAGAAACTATGGGTCAATCCCCGGCTCCACTGAAGTCAATGGAGGTTCTGTCATTGACTTCAATGGAGCCAGTATCTCAGTCAGGAAGCCACCAATAGTGCGAGAAGGGGCTTTTTTTTTTTTTTTTTCTTTGCAGTGATTAGTACGGATCCTTTCCAGAGGCAGTTCAAACAGGTTTGAATCATTTGAGTTCTGGGTTAAAATGATCTAATAAACTCAAACCAAATCTTACTGACCATGAACATGAATACTGAGGGTAAAATTCACTCCATTCAGAAGGCCAGCACAAAATCTAGAGTGGGACTTACATGCTGCATAGGCCTTGTGTGGGCCCACTTCTGAAAAGGGGTGAATTATACCCTGAATGCATACTGTTATTCTTGGTATTGGTGTACCATCGAAACAAATAACTTTTAAAAAAAGGAAATCTCAGATAAAACTGCCTTATTTTGGGTGCAAAAACAGAGCTGAACATGGTTTCCACCAGAAGCGAAACAAAATATAAAAAGTAAACAAACAAAAATCAGCCAAGATTTCTTTTAACCCCATTCAAAAGGTTTCCCATCCTTAGTGAAACGTTTGGCAAGCTAAGCCCAAAGACTGGCTTTTAAAAGAGAATCCGAGCCAGTGTTTTTTCACTTGGATCTATCCATGTTCTGCTGTTAAAAGTTTCACACAGCTCTTATCTGGACTCTTGGGTTACATTCCTTTTCTTCCACTGACTTACTATGTGACCTTGGGCAAGTAACTGAACAGTGCCATGTCTCAGTTTAACCATCCATAAAACAGGGATGATCCTGGCATCTACCCCACAGGGCTGCTGTGAGGCTTCATTCATGTTTGTGAAACTCTGAGATCTTTGGACAAAAAATGCTATGGAAGTATTATTAAAAATAAAGGCTCAAAGTGCACAGTTGCAATGTGCCAGAAGCAGACCAGGAACCAGAATGTGATGCTCTGAGAGTCAGAAACTGGTCTCTGTCCACCACACCTCCTCTTCTCTAGTGGGAAGTAAACTACATGAACTCTGTATCTGTCACACAATGCTGCTTCTTTACGCTGATCAGCTGCACTGGCTGATGCATTTAGGGTGGAGCCAAGACACTCCCCACAAACTCCTTGGCCAGCTGTTTGGGAAGGGACGTAACAACCTTTTGGGTAGTTGGCATCTCATGCTCCCATATTTTCCTGCATGGGTGTATAGGGCAACCAACAATGCCGCCCTTAGTTGGTAACGGATATACATTTTATAAACTATAAATGCAGGATCTGACCTGCAGTCAAAGGAACTTTGATGTCAATGGGAATATTTTGCTGAGAGAGGACTGCAGGCTCACTCCTGAAAAGTAGATTTTTTTTAAAGTTTGAGTTTCTTATGACATTGATTTATTTTTTTTTTTAATATGAACTCCCCATTGATTTTTACTGGGAGTTTTACTTAAAAAGAAATCAATGGCACAATGTGGGCCAGGATGTGTATTTCAAGCATTCTTTTTTCACTTGCCATTTCCTGCACCTGAAAGCAAAAAAACAAAACCAAAAACCCACAAACATTTTTTTTTTTTACGGGACAACTATGTAATAATAAAATAGCCCTACCAGAGTTTTTGTCAGTTGAGGTCTCTATTCAGCAAAGCACTTGAGCATGTGCTTAGTTTTCACTGAAGCCACGGGTTTCTTTGGGATCTAGGCATATGCTTCAAATTAGGTATGTGCCTAAGAACGCTGGTGAATTGGGCCCTGAGATCTGTATAATTTCATAATGATACCCTTGTGCAGATGTTTCCCCCCACCCACTGCCAAATAAAAGCAGATCTCACCTTTACTTTTCAGGTAGAACACAGTTTGCTCCATTACTGGTGGAATTAGTTGGCCTTTATTTTTGTCCTTGAGACTGTTGGAAGAAAAGAAAAGTGCCACCGCATTTAAATGACATTTATAGACTAAAAGAAAGGAGCAGCCTCCAAATAAATCTAAAGAGATGCATGTTATACATACATTAAGCAGGTGCCTGCACCACACTCAAGAGTTTTTCTACAATTATAAAAAAGAACCTCCTCCCACAATGCTCTAACGCTAACCCCAGCCCAAACCAATGGCCTATTGAAACTAGAAAGTCAGATTTTTACACAAAGAGCCATGCCTAAATGCCTTTTTTCCTGGTATCTATCTGTCTATACACCCCCCCCCCCATGTTGAGTAATAAGTAAGTGCTGTTTACTGTTCTGAAACAGAGTCAAGGACAAGAAGACAACGATATTCCAGTCTAACTTTAACCCGCTTTTGATTGTTTTCACTCTGGTTATTGTTCTCTTAGATTAGCAAGCCACAGCAGGGTGGCTTATAACAATGATGCAGTGACGACAACGGTGATGTTTTTGATTGATTTTGCTGTATGTCTTTAGTGGAAGGGTTTTAAAGAAGGCTTAAAGACAGCCAGAGGAGGAGTTTGCTGTGAATGTTTTATAATAAGTCTTGATCAAGGGATGCTGCAAGTTTAGCAGGCTTTTATCATGTGGATTTTTCTTTGTCATTTGTCTCCTTTTAAGCTACTGTGTATGTATAATTAAAAGGATATTGTACTATTTATTTTTGAAGGCAACATGATGCAGTGAGGTTGAGTTTATTAATGCTCTGAATGATTCCCATGAAATAAGATTTCTCTCTCTCTCTTTCATGAGTAAGCAGCTGAGGCTAAAATCGAACACAGCGGGTTTTTTTTTTCTAGACACATGAGAAAATTCTGCAATTATCTCCCTTATTTAAAAAAAAAACAACAGAAAAATATGTTTGTCTTTGACAGGTTTTGAAAGTATACCAAAAAGATGGTCAGTATTTGCTGAGCATCCCACCAGTGTTTTAAAGAACTCAACAATCAAAAAGGGAAGATCTCAGGTTTAAACATGGTATATATTTACATACATAGTTGTGTTTCCTATCTGAAATCAAAATCATGTTTACTATCAAACTCTCAGCACTAAGGCAAAGAAATGTATAGGTCTGTGAATGTGTTAATGATCTTTGAGAGATTGCAATCACTGTGGCTGATACACAGACATGTAAGATGTTCATCTAGGATCATACACGCATCAAACCATACCCTCCCAGCACTATGATTAGTTGGAACAGCTCCTGTGGAGGGGTATGCTTTTTTAATTTCAGCTATATTATGATTTCTTCTCTCCTGCTACCTATGTGGTTTGTTTGTTATTTGTAAAAATAAATGAATTAAATTAGTTAAGGTATATTTAACAAACTCTGAGAGGTGGTAGGTAAATTCCCATCGGAAGAAAAGCTAAGGAAAAAAGGAGTTCAGCAGAGCTGGCAGTTTCTCAAAGAGACAATGTTAAAGGCTCAACAGTAAACTATCCCAATGCGAAGGGAAGATAGAAAGAACAGTAACAGACCAATGTGGCCGAATCAGGAGCTCTTTAATAATCTGAAAATCAAAAGAGAAATCCTACCGAAAGTGGAAACGTAGACAAATTGGTAAGGAGGAGTAAAAACGAATAGCACAAAGAAGTACAAACAAAATCAGAAAGGCTGTGGCACAAAATGAATTACGCCCAGCAAGGAACATAAAAGGCAATAAGAAGAGGTTCTATAAATAACTTAGTAGCAAGAAAAAAGAAAAGAGTGGGTCGAGTTCTTAAAGGGGAAGTAGAGCTAGTAACGGAAAGAAGGCTGAGGAGTTTTATGCCTATTTTTCTTTAGGGCATGTCTACACTTACTGGTAGATTGGCACTGCTGCAATTGATCGTGAAGACATGCTAAATCGATGGGAGAGCACTCTCCCATTGATTTGTATACACCACCTCCCTGAGAAGCGTAAGGGAAGTCAACTGGAGACACTGTCCCTTTGACACAGTATAGTGTAGCCACCACGGTAAGTGGATCTAACTATGTCGATTTCAGTTAAGTTATTCACGTAACTGAAGTTGCGTAAGTTAGATTGATTTACCACAGTAGTGTAGACCAGCCCTAAGTCTTCACTAAGAAGGTTAATTGTGATCAGATGCTTAACACAATGTTAAACACAAGGTGGAAGGAACATAAGCCAGAATAAGGAAAGAACAGGTTAAAGAATATGTATATAAGTTAGATGTATTCAAGTTGTCAGAGCCTGAAGAAATTGATCCTAGGTATTTAAGGGAGTAGCTGAAGCAATCTTGGAACCATTAGCAGCGATAATCTTTCAGAAATGATGGACTGGTGAGGTCCCACAGGACTGGAGAAGGCAAACGTAGTACCTATTTTTAAAAGTGGGGACAAAGAGGATCCATGGAATTACAGACCAGTCAGCCTAACTTCAATATCTGGAAAAAAGAAAAGGAGGACTTGTGGCACCTTAGAGACTAACAAATTTGTTAGTCTCTAAGGTGCCAAAAGTCCTCCTTTTCTTTTTGCGAATACAGACTAACGCGGCTGCTACTCTGAAAAATATCTGGAAAGACACTGGAACACATTATTAAACAATCAGTTTGTAAGCACCTAGAGAATAATAGGGTAATAAGTAATGGATTTCTCAAGAACAAACCATGCCAAACCAACCTAATTTCCTTCTTTGACAGGGTTACTGGCCTAGTGGTTGGACGTGGAGAGTTCGGGGGGTAGTAGACATGCTATATCTTGGTTTTAGTAAGGCTTCTGATCTTCCCACATGACACTGTCATAAGTAGGGCCCTACCAAATTCACAGTTCATTATGATCAATTTCACGGTCATAGGATTTGTGTTGTATGGCTGACAATGCATATGTGAAGAGCAGCAATTACTACTGGCATTTTGGAATAAAAGATATCTTACACTTCCTGTTTAAATAGCAGCCATACAGCAGAATATTTTCATATGTCTGAATCATATTACAACAATATGCCAGTTTTAAAGGGATCAGTTATAAAACACACTCACACACTAGTCAGGGAAAGTATTTTCTGGAGTAGACTTTATTATTAGTTAGTGCAGCATGTTACATGGTGAATGATTCAGTTCTAGTTTTTGGACTAGTGATAACTCACTTAAGGTGTTGAACATTGTTCTCAAGCACCATTAAGTATTCTTGGTTGATAATCTCTCTCTCTCGTTTTCATTTTTTCCCCTCTGTGACATGCTGAGATTCAGTTTAGAATTTTTCTTTCCCCCTGATTGCACATGCACAGCATACACAAACAGGAAAGATTACAGCAAAAAGGAGAGCACCCTGAAATGTTTGTGATAACGGTTCAGTGTTTAAAAACAAGCTGAAGCTGTGCGATTGTTGCAATTCCTGCATTTCCCCTCTTCCCCTGCCCCAGCCGTGGCAATCACTAGATGAACTAAAAATTTTCCTCCCTTCCCACAACGAGATTTTTAAAACCAAACGGAGACAATTGAGAATGAAGCCAATAACTAGCCAAGGTCAACCCTAGGCTCTGCACTGGAGCTCAGCTGTGGTGTTCCTTGATTCTAAAGGCAATAGAGTAGAGCAACAGGCGTGTACAGGGTGTACGCAAAGGACAATGCCACAGCCTGGCACATGTTGTGATTTTTTTTACTTAAGCGTTGAAAACTGGAACCTCATTCATGCATTACAATTGTATTCATCAGATCAATATAAGATGAAGGTGGCTTGATTTTTATTTTCTTGCATTGCATTTTAATAAAATCTTTAATGATGGTTTCTTTCGGAACAGCAACAGTGATGCTGCCTCTTTCCATTTAAACCAAGGGAGTGCTAATAGTTCTGCATAACCAGTATCTGTGTCTATCTATTTTATATTGTGGAGGTGGGCTTGGTGAATGAACAGAAAATATGTCCTGCTTTCTATAGGTATTCTTGTGTACTGTATATGGATCTTATTTGAAATTCCTGGATTTATAAATACGATAACTTAGTGATGAGTAACAGCAGGTCTTTATGTCCCACAATACTCAGTGCCCACTTTATCTGAGCATAAAGAACCTAGTTCAGCAAGTTTCTTAAGCTCATGCTTAACTTTGAACATGTGAGTGGTATCACTGACTTTGAGTTGGGGCCTCATCTCAATAAATTAGTTTCCAAAACAAAGCATGGATGAAACATTCTGGAAGAGGACAACTCTTCTATATGATGAAATGCATGCAGTTAATTATCAGCTTCACTACTTAATTCATTCTATGTTTTCAGAAGGACAACTTTTTTTTAAAGCAGAATTTGAAACCTTTAGAGTTATTTTAGATCAAAGAAATAGGTAGTATTTGGCTCCAGAACAATCTGGCCTATATACTAGAAATTCAATTGATATGCTATTCTTTATCACACAGTGACAGAGTATTTTGTGCTGTATAGGCATAAATGAATACAAAGTAGGTCCCTGCTCCAAGGATCTTACAATCTGCCTAAACATGGTAGCCATTTTTAAATGGAAATGGTAAATCTTTTTAATCCCCGATGCCCCAAATTCTAAGAAAATCCCAGGCAGCACCTTTGGATGATTTTAAATGTATTTCTTAATACTATTTATTATTGGTACTTGTCATAAATATAAAGGGAAGAGTAAACACCTTTAAAATCCCTCCAGGCCAGAGGAAAAACCCTTTCACCTGTAGAGGGTTAAGAAGCTAGGATAACCTCGCTGGCACCTGACCAAAATGACCAATGAGGAGAGAAGATAATTTCAAAGCTGGAGGGGGGGAGAAACAAAGGCTCTGTCTGCCTGCGTGATGCTTTTGCCGGGAACAGATCAGGAATGGAGTCTTAGAACTTAGTAAGTAATCTAGCTAGGTATGCATTAGATTCTGTTTGTTTAAATGATTTAACTGGGATTTGGTCCTGCTTCGAGCAGGGGGTTGGACTAGATGACCTTCTGGGGTCCCTTCCAACCCTTATATTCTATGATTCTATGAAATGGCTGATAAAATAGCTATGCTGAATGGA